CCAGTGGTCATGGGTTCAGATCTCAGCTCTGCTGTCTGTGTAGACGTGTGGCCTAGAGCAGGCTACTTCTTTCCTAACCTCAGTTTTCTCATCTGTAAAGTGGAGATAATAATAGAGATCATTGCATGAGAAGAGTCCTGATGCAGTTTCTTTGCGTGGATTAAGGATGCACGCTTAGGAAAACAGGATTTGAGTGTGAGGTCTAATGTGGACACTGCCAGGCACTGAGATAAAACAGCGGACAAGATGGGTTATGCTCATGGTCTTGGAATTAGCAGGTAAATGCCTGGTGCACGGTAGTCACTTCAGGAAAACTATTTAATACCACATCCTTCTGTTTACTGTGATTTTCTGGCATGTATTAGGTGCTCAAGAAGTGTTCTGAAATATTACTGGACAGAAAACTGCCTATATGGTATCAGGGGCGGGGAAAGACATTTGTTTAAAAAGAAAACGTAGTTCGTGCTGTTTACATCTCAGAGAAGGAACTTTTGAAAAGCCCATGGAAGGACTCTGTGCCCCCAGTGATGCCATGATTTTGAGCGACCGCCTGTGGCTCACGACAGCACGTTTGGCCTCCCAGCCACTTCATCCTCTCCTCGCTGTGAATTCGTGAATTGGAAAATCATCAGGTTGTGGTTCTCCACAAGCTTTCTGGCTTCATGGATCCAGACTCAGGTCTGGGGGTAGGGAAAGGCCGTGGCGCTTCAGAGCACGTGCTGGGCGGGGAGAGGAGGCGTTCGTGGGGAAGAAACGAGGGGCGCGGCGGGAGGAGGCGGAGGAGGGTCTGAGCACCGCCCCCCGGTCTGTCCCGAGCTCTTCCTGGAGCTCCTGCTCACGGGCAGGTTGGAAAGGAGGACGGTCCTGGACACGGGCCCAGACTCCTCGCTCGGAAGCCTGGACTGCCCAGGGCTGTTGGATGCTTCTGGCCCGCAGATGGCCAGGTTCCAGGCCCCGTGGGGCGGGGGGAGGAGAGGCAGGCGAGGTCAGAGAGGGCGCCTCTGAATGGTCTCACTGTCCCCAGGGAAGCGCCAGGTCTCCTGGAGGACACCGGGGTCCTGCAGCTCTGCTCCATCTTGTCCTCCATCCTTACATCCCCTACTGTCCAAACCCAGCCAGGTGCCCGCTCCAGAGAGAGAGGCCGGGGGAGAGGAGGGAGAGGGGGCCGGACCTCAGCTCAGTGGCCAGTCCTCAGTGGGGGCCCAGGGACGCCAGGCTGGGCCCTCCTGGAGGGACGGCCGTCCACCGCCTCCATCACGTGGAGCGCCCTTATCTCTCCATCTAGTTCTCCTTGTGCGAGGCTCAGAACGGCCCGCTCCGAGGAGACAATAAACGCATTCATGTCTGTAAGAAGTGCGCGGTGACAGCGAGGGACGGACTGGGCCGGGCTCCCTGCGCTCTGGATGCGGCTCTCTGGCCTCCAGCCATTTGGGCCTCGCAGGTGGAGCAGAAAGTTGCAATGAGCTTGTGAAGTGACCCGCCTCCCTTCCCAGGAAGGTTCCCAGAAACAAGTTATTAAGTGGCTCTGGGGATGAACCCCTCTTAACTGACTGCAAACTCCTTTACTCTGAGATCCGATCAAGCCTGAATTCCG